GTTTCAATGGGGTATTACATAAAGTCGGTACGTGATCAAATTTACTATAACGCCCTTTCTTTTTGTGTACATTCATTACAGTTACATATGACTTCACAAAAAAAAATTATTAGTTTTTTAAGGTCTTAAATATTTGTGCTGCAAGTCTTTAGAAGATATTTAAAGTCAAAATATTATTTGCTTAAACATGATTTATTATTTTTTTTTATCATAGTATTCTTGCTTATTAGCCGCTTTAGCCACACAATCTTCATTGCTTTAAATTCTTAATCAACAACTCGACAATTAACTGGTACAGGTGAAGTGTTATAAATAAAAAAAACTTCCCTATGATCGTAGATTATAATGCATAAAAATATCACCATCGACAGAATCAATCCAATTCTCCCTTATAAATTTCATTTAAAATCATCTATTTAACATTGTTTTGAAAAATACTGGTAATTAAACTGCTGAAATTGTTTGCTCTTTGACCACTAACCTTCCGAGGCAAAAGCATAACCAGGTCAATAGAAATATCTCCCTCATAGCTACTCCCCCTCGTAGCTTCAATCAAAATCTGTAAAATAATACATGATAATAAATATGTAGCTCTAACAGAAAAAAGAAAACAGAAGATCTCTTAAAGCTATTGAATGTTTAAAATATTTAAAAATTCTTTAAAATAGATTAGATACCGCAGGGATTTATTCTTATCTTCGATATGCATTATCATTTTTCTAGATACAATTAAGGAAAAAATTCGATTTGAAAAAGCAGCATGATTAAATGAATTTTATTTACTGTAAAATCATTTGTTTTCATGGGAACAACTTTTCGTGGTTAAAAAGTAATTTTGATTCGTGGGGATTCGAGTGTTCAGTTGTTATATGAATCTTAATATTTGTGTGTGTGTGTGTGGGGGGGGGGGTTCGTTGGAATCTCCATACCTAGAAAGCAACAAAAGTAAGAATCCTAGAGAAAACAAATAATATCAAAGAACATTAGTGTTGACATAAATTTGTTTTTACCTTGGTATATCCATTCAAACGGACATTAAGACTGCTCATCTTTTTCCACTTATTTCCTTGCTCACCAGATAATTGTTTTAAGACAACAGGATTATTAAATATTTCTTTAGTTTTGATTGTAAGATTTCCAACATGAGATCCATGCATATGATAAAACAAGTAAAGGCAGTACAATCTCTCTGAAAAAAATATACAGCAGCTTTTTAGAACTTGCTTAACTCACTTTTCATTTTATGTACACTATAATCAGGACAGTAAAGAAAGAAAGTAATATTAATTATCAAAAATCACGTGCACAAAAGAAAGAAACTTAAGGCTATGAAAGGATAGTGACACACATGTACAGATTTACTTAAACTTTTTCAAATAATTTTGATAGCGGTTGGGATGAAAAATTGATATTGCAACCGTTCTTTGTTTTTGGATCGTTTTGAAAGTTTGATAAGATGGTTTTTTTCATATTCAATGTGCAGTAGTATCAGAAAAAAAAAAAAAAATCTCCCTTAGTCTTGAAAGGTCTTGTCATAAAGAATACACATGTGAAGTATGAAAGTCCTAGCACCAACTGTTAGAAAGTTATTCCGAGGTCAAACTCAAAGCTCAAGGTCAAATGGTCAAAGTTGTTGGTATCAACAATTCTTGTCACAAGGATTACATACTGAATGTGAAGTATGAAAGCCCTAGCCCTTACTGTTCAAAAAGTTATGGCCAAGGTTACAGTTTTTTAAAGTAGGTCAATCTTCAAGGTCAAAAGGTCAAAGTTGTTGGTATCCCATTGAAGGTTTTGTCATAAAGAATACATATGTAAAGAGTTATGACCAAGGTAAAAGTTTGGAATTTTGGTGTAAAAGTGTGTCAAACTCCAAGGTCAAGACGTCAAATTTGGTTGTACCCAAAGAAAGGTCCTGTCACAAGGAATACAACAGTGAAATATGAAAGCCAGAGTCCCAACCAGTCAAAAGTTATGGGCAAGGTTTAAGTTTTTGTGGACAAACAGTCAGATAGACAGACGGACAGGGCCTAAACTATATACCACCAAAACGTCGTTTACAGGGGCATGATAAAAAGCATTTTAAAAATTAGACTTAATCTGCATTTTAAACTACATGTGAATTATAACGGGTATATGTTTGTATTCATTTCAATGTAACCATAGAAAACAAATTTAAATTTTTGGCCACAGATGCCACACACTCTTGAGGCCCTTGATATTCCTAGAGCCAATATCAACATTCCAAAACCTTAATGCACATCTTCTAACTGGCATGGCCATACGTTGAAAAAAGAATTGTTTGGCCATCACTCAAAATGAAGGAGTTCTGATAGCAAGAAAGTGCAAAAGATGGATTGGAATATAAACATCAACACATATATATACAAGAATTTCATTTTATTAAAGGCATATTTGTTATCATACATAATAAATCATTTTAACCATTTTACATACAAATACATTAGCAAGATTGTTTTTTTTAAACATGGGTGTATGTAACGTCTTCTTTCTCAACATACTTTTTGCTATCTACTTAAGTACCGGTAGATATACAAAATACCAGACAGTCAATAGTGATTCATAGACATAATACGTCAGTTCAAAGTTGAATGATATTAGTAAACAAGTCATTGACACAGCCCTTGGTTTATCTGACATACTCAAGCTTCTGATCTTAATCTGTATGACATTGTTTTACTTTCTTGCAGTAATATTATACTTCCACTAGTATCTACATTCCTTATTTCCACACTGAATTAGATGTACATGGCAACTGAAATCATATATACCCCGTTGTTTGATTTTGTATAAAGTACATTTTATGAGAATTTAACTTTGACCATAAACAAGGTTCACCTCTGGAGTACTGACTTTTATTTATAAGTTGTCCTGAACTTCTTATACTTCATTCAACTACAGCGCTGTATTTAATTTTATATTACCAGGTACAAAATGATTACCTATCTAGGGTAATTTACTAATTATTCCCTCGCAATGCAGTTGGAGGGATTTTAGTTATGTAATTGTGTGTGTGTTTGCAAGTAAGTTTATGCTATGGAAGTGGAGTAATTTGCATCAGGAATGATGGCAGATGTTGTTTTATTTATAGATATGCACTTTGCGGGGGGGATCCTCCGTTTTGCAGAACATGGCCTTGTTTAGATATTGTCTTTTGAGGGTAGAAGATAAATTGGACACTGAATAATTTCATTTTTTTCACTTTTACATATGTATTTGATACTGCTATATTTACTTTGATTGTCCCTTCACCTTGATGTTGTTGATGGCTTTCAGTGATTGTACATCCCCATCCTCTGCATCTACCATCAGTAGGGTACACTTGTGAAGAATGAGGTCAAATGGTCCCTGAGGCTCCAAGCTCTTGTCAACGTCCAACTAGAATGTCAGAAAGTGTTCATTTAATTATTATATAAACTGGTAGCATTTTCAAAAATTATTCCTAGCAAGGTCATTCTCTCTTACTGGTAAATGGTGAAACCCCCCTTTGTTAAAAATCATCAAAGTTTATGTATATAAATAGTATTTATCACTAAGCATTAATCATTAATCATATGGGTGCGTATCATTACCGCTACATTTTCAAAATTTTCATTACCACTACATAGTCATTACCACTACAAAAAACCTTACGTTACCGCTACATAAAAAAGTATACATTACCGCTACATTGCCTCTTTCGTTAGCCAGCCACTTATGCATGTACAGTACAACCTATACATGTACCAGGTGCATAAGACCCCTTCCTACTGCTCACCATGGGGAGGTGAAAGTAGGACTTTGAACAGGATGGGGTTTACAAATAAATCGTTGAGGCCTGTTTTGCAGCTGCTTATGCAACTCTTTTCAACGCATCTCCACAATTTTGAGTTTTTGAAAGTCTTATTTTTTTCTAAATTTATAAAAAATCGATAAGTAAGCCAGCATTCCCTCGATTTGTAACAAACTTCTCAATGGTGGCCATAATGTTCAGATGACACTAAATAATTAAATTTATATATATGTACTCATTCTGATTAGATATTACTACATGTATTCCGAAATATGTGGTTAGGTTTAATCTGTTAAATTGAGGTGAAAAATGGAACGGGGAATATAGTAGGGCTGGGACGATACAACTTTTTCTATATCGATACGTATCACGATATTTGAGCCACGATACGATATGTATCACGATATGTTTAATTGCTTATAAAATCTGTTTTTGCATTAAAATAAACAAATTATTTCTTTGCAATAAAGAATAATTTCAAAATAGTTGTTTATGTTTTGTAAAACAAAAATATTTTACTCAAGTGGTGTAAATTATTATTTTTTCACATCTATATTTATATTTAACTTATTTACTTTCTATATTTAACCCAAAATGTTAAATAAACAAAGAAAAATAGAAGTAAGATTTTGGGGGACAATATTTCTTCATATGTATCGATATGCGTATCGTCCTCACATGTATCACGATATATCGATATCTCGATATATCGTCCCAACCCTAGAATATAGTGAGTGAATTCTGTTGATTAGAACTCATGTAAACCGAACTATACCTGGCTAAATCGATATGTAGCGGAAATGAGTTATTTTTGGCTGATTCAGTATGTAGCGGTAATGAATTGTTTTTTGCCGGAAAAATGTAGTGGTAATGATCGGTCGAAAATCTGACAAAATGTAGCGGCAATGAGTTGACATTTTTGGCAATGTAGCGGTAATGTTGACCTCCCAACTTATGTTTATCCGATTCTCTCATTGTGCTCGGCTTCGACTTTTTTAAGGTGGAAGCACTTTTTCTACAAGGAAAAGGGGTTAATATTTATTCGACGTCGAATAATGGCCGAGGATGATTTTTCGCTGTTGAATAATGACCGGGGGTCATTAATCGACCTGTTAAAATGACCAACAGTTATTATTCTGTGGGTTTCATTATTCGTCCTTGCACCGGCCTTAAGAAGTATGTTGCTGAATTTTAGTTTACAGTGAAAAGTTAGTTACAACCTTAAACTATAGAGGAGTCTTTAAGGTGTTCAGGAAATTCATAACAAGACAAGAAATAAAAAATTTTGGCACACAGTAAACCCCAGGAGCATGCTTCTTTCTGAAACGTCGCCGCGTGGATCAGTGGTTAGAGCATCTGCTCTAGAGTCGACCAGTAAGGAGTTTATCCTTACGTCGCGGGTTCGAATCCCACGGTGGGACATAGAGACCGATCCTTCGGATAGACCGTATAAACCAAGGTACCGTGCCGCAGTAGGTGCTGGCACGAAAATTATCCCTCCCTGCTCAATGACCCTAAATGCCGAGTATAGCACAAAATTTGCAGCTCTCTACCGGCAAATGTTGGCGTCTCCATATGAGTGAAAAATTTTCGAGTGGGACGTTTCAAAACATACAATTAATCGATCATTCAACACAATGTGCCAAATAATGAGCGCTTCAAGTAGAATAGAAAAGCAATATGAACAGGAATAAAAAGAAAAAAATATAGTTTTTATCGGCCGAGGAGAGGAACGTAACAAGAACACTTGGACACCTTAGAACGGCCTATAACATTAGCTTGCAAAATTGGTTGTAACTCCGTTATCGGGAGGTAGACTGCAAGTTGTGTACTCACTGTAAAGGATCAGCACAAAATAAAACAGGAACCCATTTTTCGCTCACGAATTAAATAAAATCTATAGTTTAGAATGCTTCCAAAATGCACTCGATCTTTCATCTATTTTACGGTATTTCCATGGAGTTAGTTCTGGAAAATATAGTTACGCTTGTGCTTGCAATAATATGGACTCTAGTTTTCATTTTGCATTTGAACTTACATTGTTCAAAGTCAAATGAAATAAAGCAACAAAGGTTTATAGGGAGATTCATCAATTTAAATAATTTATTGTGATCACAAAATGTCAACTATTTTACTACATGTAAATAAAAAAATGTTTTGTTTTTATTTTATCAAATGACATCTTAAAACAAATTGTAAACAATCATTTCAAAATTAGTGCAAAAAATTATTTATGTGTTCAATTATCAAAAAATAATTCCAACAACCCCTGATGTTAAAAATGTAATCCAGCTATAAAAACATTGGTGATTTTCTATACTTGTATGTGAATCGTAATCAGCAATTATATTTAGAAATAGTTAAGCTTATGTTTTATAAATTTCTGAGTTTAACACAAATACTCATAATAGCATCACCGTTCAAGGTAGCTCAGTCGGTAGAGCGCTCGCTCCGTGATCGGGAGGTCGTGAGTTCGTATCTCGGCTGCGACTGACCTAGTCGTTAAAATGGGTAGCAACTGTTCCTTCGCCATGCGTTCGGCCCTTCTGAATTGAAAGTTGGGGGGTCCTTCGGATGAGACCTTAAAAACCGAGGCCCCGTGTCAGCGGCAGTCGTTGGCACGATAAAGATCCCTCACTGCTCAATGGCCTTTATGAGAAAAGTATATTTGAAGGAACCTATAAACTAGTTTATAGGTCCCAAGTATTTGTTATTTGAACGTTGGCTTTTAAGGGTCGGGTTTGGTTGTCACATCAAGTGTAGTATATAAAAGGTCGGGTTTGATCTTCACATTCCTTTCTCTTGAACCTTTCGAAGGTAAAGACGCATAACAGTTGCGTGCAATAAAATACATGAAATGTTGTTTTGTAACTTTAAAAACCCGCCCTCCCACTACCTTTTTTATTTAGAATGTTCCATTTTCTCTAAGTAAAGAATGATATTCTGCTGCTGGTTTTTTGCTTTATTTTGCAGTGAAACAGCTTTGATCTGCTTGCCGAGATGAAAACCTTATACCCATAAAAAAATATCCTGGTGCTGTCTAAGCAGAAGTTCAAGTGAAGAATCTACCACATGATGCCCACATCAAGTCCATTGCCAGCCTTAAGGATTGTGCTAAACATGCGCTAAAGTGTCTCTGTGCAATAAGCGTACCGAATAGTGTTGCAAATTGTGAAACTTTCTATCGTTTACAAAATCAAATTGGTAGCATATAGTCGATCATAGGATTGATATTTTGAACTAAAAGAAACCGTCATGGCACTTTTTCAAGGAGAAGTCATTAGTGTGAAGCGTCTGCGCACACCAAGTCAACTGATAACTGAATGTTTGTGTGAAACTTGTAATAAACTGTCACCTTGTTGAAATGCTAATGCTAGTGTAAACTAAGCTAATAAGCTTACTCTTGTTGACAGTAATATATACTTTAGAACTGTATTACATCGTGCAGGTTTGAAATATGAAAAATGTTGATATTTGAAGTTTGAGATGTTTGATCTATGAAGTTTGAGATATTAATGATATATGATATACAAGATTTGATAAAAGAAGTTGATATGCTTGATATTTAAAATTTGAGATATGACTTATTGATTGATTGAATGATTGATTGATTGATTGATTTGAACAGTTTGTATGTATGCAGACCATTCGCGGTTAACCCGGGACGGTTAGAAAAAAGAAACAAACATTGCTGATGTTTGAATTTGATGGGTACGCCCAATTGAAATGGCGTCCCACAATTTTGTATTGTGCCACGGCCAATACTCACCACAATGAATACATATAAATTCTATTTTGAGTTTTGTGTCATTTTTCTCTGTATAAGTAACAAGTCTTAGATTATATTTATAAGATAATATTTAGAATATTCAATATTACAAAATATTACCAGTAGATGTGTCTGTTTAAATAACTTATTACCGTTTTCCTTGTCCAATCAAATATGTCAGATTTTGAATTCTCCAGAAAGCAATCGGGCTCAGCAGTCGTTTCAAAGTCGCACATATCTTTATATGAAAGAAAGAAGAAAAACTCTTCGTATTTATTGTTATTATTGTTGTCTATGAAAAAGTGGGAAAAGAAATGAAAACAAGGTCATGGCTTATCACATTTTTATATCTTTTCATACACATATTGCTTAAGCCAATTTTGCTCATTTTACTTACATCCGTCTGGTATAGCCCTAGAGCCACAGTTAACAGTGGTTGGTTCTTGACACCTCATGTTTATGTCAGAAAACATTTGAGGAGCTGGACAGCGTTGAAGATGAGAATTTTTTTGGCCGCAATCATAATAAAAAGGACACAGTTCCAAGTCTTCGAAAACCAAATGTTTTAGGTTCCTACACAGATCCTGCACAGTCCAAGAAAGAAACCTTGAAGGAAATCGAGAGAAAACTAAGTATATTAATGTGTAGAATCAAATCATTTTCTCATTGTCCTAAAATGTTTCATTCATGCATGCAGTTTTCAAATTTGGGCATAAGTATTTTTTTTTATAATTCTATAAAGAAAACATAATACAATTTACCTTTTTGTACAACTTTCAGTTCCATTAGTTTGGATTTATATTCTGATAATTCCTTTGACATTTTTTCTTGCAAAACTTGGCTTTGATGTAATCGCATTCCACATTTATGCACGTTCTCTGTACATACTGATGATTTCAAAGTCTTTGTAAATGGTTCCTGGAACTTACTTTCATCGTCATAAATTGCTTGGGGATAAACAAAATGCACGCTATAAAACAGAAAAGGAAGTAGGCAATAAAGAAATAACATAACTGTGCTCACCATCGTGTAGAAATTATTATTTTCCAGGAAGAGAAGCAAGTTAGTAGTATATATTCCTCTTAATATTTAAAATAGTCATGTGATTTAATTTCATGTTTGAAATGAGGAAGTTATGATATTTACATCGAAAACTTTTTAATGGTCACGGTAGGTCAGTTAGTTGATCGGAAGGTCTCGGGTTTCGAACCACTGTAGCAAATGGAATGAATCTATTTAAAAAAATAGGTACATGTAGCAACTGTTCCTTTTCCAAGTACGGGGCACTATGAAACTGCTCCCTGTTCTAGTATATTTGACAGTGTATTTTACCCAGCTTTAGATTGGTTTCGTTATCATTTCTTTAAGTTCATGTAAAATATCTGGTCTTCACGTCTTCATCCTAAAGAAAAAACCAAAACCATTTATTTTCAATAAGGAATAAAGAAAAATAGAGGATGGGAAATTACGGAAGACCATAAAAGGGCTTTTAAAAAAAATCTTGAAAAAGGATTTAATAAATTATGACGGGAATTCGTAACAAAGACAAAAACAAATGGTTGAATGTAATCTTTTAAGGAAAACTTAAAAACCAAATAAATTGGGTATAGAAATTATATAAAGTGCATATGGTTGTTTGAACGCAACTATGTGATTTTCTGTGTACACTAACTTTAAAACCAAAGTAAGACATTTAAAATATATTGAAACAATTTCAGTACAATCATATCGGAAGTATGTATCTTTCGCATCAAGACGGTTATATATCATGCACTTATGTTGTCTTTGTCAGTTTTCTGCCAACTGTTTTTGTTAAATGTAAGTGGTACTTATGAAAACATTTATCAAGAGTTCAGAGGATTTGCGTGGATATTTGGGAATCTATATGAGTAATAGCACAATGTAAGGCTGTTTAATCTGACTACAAAAACAGGGGTAAAAATAAAGTAAGTTTAAAATATCTATGCTTTGCCTTTTAAATGAGTAAGAGGACTTCAATTCATATTTTTCATAGCTGCTGAACTGTAGTTCTCTGCTTGAGAAAATTCGGAAAGATAAAGCAGAGAACTACAAATTCAAGCGGGATAAAAACATTCGATTTACGCGTACGTTATTTTGTTGCTAACTTCGGGTATTTTTTTCTTGTATTTAATTCTCTCTCCAGATTTAAAGATTGTATTTAATAATTAATCATACATTTAATTTTAATTTTTGATAATTTACGTACCTTTCACATGTGTTTCAACGCTTACAAAAGGTCGTTTGTGGTAACAGACTTCCAAATAGAACTATTTTAAACCAACATTACAAAACTATTTACAGGACTGTTTCGGACATTTAAAAGGTAAATAAAGTATCAAAACAGAGTTAAATATATGAATAATTATAGGGTACCATTTTAAAAGCCAGAGAAAGCTTAAACTACATACAAAATACTCGAAGTAGCGACAAAACAATTGTCTGCATAAATCTAATTTTTTTTCAACGCTTGGATCTGTGCCTTTCTGCTTTATCTGTCCGATTTCCAAAGCAGAGGGTTTCAGTTCTTCAACTATTTTTTTCTATGAATATACATTATTCTATATTTGATAAGCGAAGCTTAATCTTTGAAAGGAGAATTGGTTTTTCAGATAATTTTCTTTAAAAGTTTTACAGATTTTTTTAATTTTTACACAGTATCGATTTTGTATACATGTATGTAAGCGAAAAGTGCAATATTTGTATCCAAATGAAACAAAAAGAAGGGGAAATGATAAATGTAACTATGTTATATTATTATTTGAACAGTGATTCATACCTTAAAATCGCTTACACCATATGACTCTTATGTGCAAGATATTTTAAGGTTATTTATTGTATGTTTATATAAAAAAAACAACTTCTGACTTAGATCTCACATCATAAGGATTTAAAAAGCTTGGAAAGACACAAATTTTTGATAATGCATAAAGTAAGATTTACAGCGGCATTTTGCATTTTCAATTAACATAGTAACAGGTAATTTGAGTATAATTAATGGGAAAGTCGAAAGTCTTGAATACTATTCTTTCAAATTTCATTTTTTTTCATCAATCCCATAGAGATTTTTCCATAATTATCTGACTGAGCAAGTGAAAATTTAATTAGATTTCATTTTAAGCAACAAATATTAAGTGTCAATAAAATACATGTAAGTTAAACAAGAAATCAAACACGGATTACAATATATCCCTCATCAGCTTTTGAAAATATTTGTCAATACAATCATATCGATAGTTTGTATACTTTACTAAATATTACATCAAGAGGGTTATATATAATGCACTAATGTTGTCTTTGTTAGCTATCTGCCAATCGGTTTTGTTAAATGTAAGTGGTACTTATGAAAACAAATTAATCTCAAGAGTCCTAAGGACTTGCGTGGATGTTTGGGAATCAATATGAGTAATAGCATAATATAAGGCTGTTTAATATGACTACCAACCCCCCCCCCCCCCCAAAAAAAAAAAAAAACAGAGGTTAAAAATGAAGTAGTTTTATACATGTAATATATATGCATTGCATTTTAAATAAATTAGTGGACTTCGATTTACATTTTTCTATGAATATGCATAGTTTTTAATTGGATGAGAGAGGCATGCACTTTGTAAAGAGAAATGATTTTGCAGATTTTTTTTTTTGCAAAGTTTTACAGGTTAAACACATGATCAAATTTTTTTCACTTAAAAAAAATCTGCATTAAGATACGCCCGATCATTTCTTTAGTTGAAGTGCAAGTGCAAGTACACAACATTCGGGTTAGTGTCAAAACATAAAAAAATTCGGAGTGTGAATCACATTTACTCAATTTCAGTCCCCCTTTTCCTCTGAAAATGATGCGGTTGTGGTCATTGTTTAGATAATGTATACCCCAACCAGAACCAGCTTAAAAGATAGTCAAGCGCATGCACAAAAAAATCACCAAAAATGCGTTGCAACACACGCACAATTCAGGGATTAAACGTTAGATTCTTTCCGTTTTTTACTGTGCCAAATTTTTTGCTGTTATTGATAGCGTCGATAAAGGGAGAATGACCCAGCGCTGACTGGTCAGTTACAGACAGCATCGAAACACGTGATTATGATGGACATCTCTGATTGGCTAATTGTCTACGAAAGGGTAAGGTTTGACTTTGGAAAATATTGGAGTTGCGTAACAAGCAGCCGAAACTGAAGAACTGGGGGAAATTACATAACATGGCACCTGACGCTTGCAAGGCCTTGGAGAATTCCAGTAAGTGGAGAAAAATCAAAACATTAAGTCTGAACAATAAAATAGAACATCTACTTACTTACATTTATATATAAGAAATTAAACAGCATTGTAAACATAAATGAAATTATTTACATAATTGAGGTTTGTTTGTGTATAGATATGTAGTACACCTTATGGCTAAAATGTCTTTCCTGTTTTCCTGTCTCTGATCCAAAATTTGTTGGTTTCCTTATACTTATCATTTTAAATAACCATAACACTTACAATACACTCATGTATACTCATATACTAGTTGTGAGTGTCATTTGTTTCATGTTAAGGTCAGACATATAAACTATAAAGGTCCGTGAAATAAACAAAAAGAACCAATTTGGGTTTTTTTTTGTGTAACTATGAGAAGGGTCTAAGAAAAACTGTCAAGTTTAGAATATGGTGTAAATATCAAACTTTAGAAGAGATCTTTCAGTTCTACGCAAGGTAATTATCTCTCAAAATAAATGTATTTCAAAGTAATGATACATGATATGTCCATCATGCTGTTCACAATCCCAATATTTTTTATTTTGATTTCCTAATAGATTTTGAACGATCAATTCATCTACGATATTCATGCATTTTATTTTGAGACTTTAAAATCAATAGAAAATTTTACAGCGTGAAAGGCATCTTTTTCCACATATCAAAATCACTCAAATTTATTCTTCCGCAATTTTGATAATGAAGCACAACTTATACACACGCATTTTTTACTAACTAGAGATAATTTTGAAGCAATTTTCAGATCAGTGTTTATAGTTATCACGCTTTAATTACTTTCACATTAAATTAATTCTGTAAAAAGAGGACAACATAAATGTACATTTTAATCATAAGTAGGTGTAGAAGTTAAAAGTTTCAATGTTAAAAATTAAGAAACAATTCCCTTGGGATAACAGTTTCTATTTCCTCGTATTCCAAAAAAAAAGACAGATGGTGTCGATAAAATCATTTAAATAGATGGAAAAAATTAGAAAAATCTTGATTTGTATCTTTAATTTCTGCATCCGTCCTATAACAGAAATCATACGGACAAGAAAGGAGACAATAGTGGAGGAAAACATTTGAAATCATTGCTAAAAATCAAGGAAGTATACATAATTATAGAAATTCTTATTTTGATTGGGCATGGACAACATTGCAACTACTGTATTTTTTGCCAATTATTATGTTTACAATATTGCAAACTAAGGCATGCAATATAATGATGAGTAAAAATGTGAACATTATTTGTTGATTTAGAAACTCCGGAGATACAGAACTTAAATTCTGCATAATGTAAACAAGGCTTGTTTCTTGTTTTTGTTTACAAATAGAACATGTTAAGTTTA